GGCATGTTTTGTATGCACGGTTTAAAGGAGAATCATATATCTTGCAGCTCATATAATGTCACTTTCCTGGTGGTCGTATTTTAGGAAAAGTGCTGCCTGGCACTTTGCATGCTGCTGATTATTCCAGAGGAGAACACAGAGAGGGGATTTTTGTTCTGATTCAGCTGCTGTAGAAGACTGGAGCTTTTTTTTCCTTTAAGTGGCATTTAAAACACATGTTCCTCTCTCCTATTGCTGGGGATGTCTCCCAAAATTCTTGGTTCCATGCTGTAGCTGATATAAAGGAGCAGCAGGGAGGTGGGAGCTACTAAAGAGCAGTTTAATAACATAAATTTGTGTATAATAAACTCTGCTGGTATGAACCAATGTTGTCTTTGAGCTGGAACAAGGGGACAAATATGAACTCCCTCTTCACCTCTGCCCCACCCGTGCCCTGAGTTTCCCTTTTCATTTCTCTATGCATCTGTAAAACAGAGCTTCCATCCAGCACAGAGGGCACACAGGGACTTTAATTAATGTTTGCAAAGTGTTTTGAGATGCCTGGTGACAAGTGTCATGCAGGCGTGAATGGAACTGATTATTAGAGCAAAACATCAACTGATCCCCAAATTAGCACCTGGCTAATGGCACATGCAGGCTTGGACTGACATCCGTTACTTAAGAAAATGTGATCTTGATGAATTGGGTTTTTTTTCCTACTTGGCTGTTGCTAGAACAGAATACTTATTACTTCTGAGTCTAACTTTAATTTTTCAGGCTGATCAATCCCCATTACTGCTTTACAGTTCAGCTAGTTCTACTCCAAACAGTTAGTATAAAACACAAAGTATTATCATCTTCATTAGATAAAGCACTGGAGCATTTTAAATGCAAATACTGTATAAAATATAATAAGTTCATTATAGTGGTTTACATTTTTCCATTATCAGATCCAGTCTGAGCTAATTGCTTAGCCAGTTTTATTGCCACTGGCTTTTACTTCAAGTGAGCAGTCTCGTGGAAGCTCTGTAGATGTCAGCCAGGATATCTTTCAGACTGATTGGGATTCAGGGACTAAAGAGGAAGTTTGCCTTGTGAAAGGCACTTTGTTGACTTCTTGTTTGATGGTTTCCTCTATCCTTTAAAGTGTTTGAAACAGGCTGTTTCCTGAGGCTGAGCAGGGCATGAGAGAGGCCGTGGCCTGATGTGGTTTGGTGCTGCCATCCTCCTCAACCTTCAAACTGTTCTGGGATTTTACATCGTATATTAAATGTCACCCTTTGCATTGACCAGGAGGGACTGTCTCTGTGCACATCCCAGGGAAGAATACAAATCCCTGAGTTTTTTGAGGGTGAATTTTGTATCCTCAACCATGTGGATTCATGGCTGTCCCAGCAGCTGCCCTCACATATCTGGTTGTTGTGACGTGCTCTTTAGCAGGATGTTGCCATGGTGGCAGTAGTTTTACTCCAGACCCCAAATATCCTCTGGTAACTCTGTGGGGATTTTAGATGTGAGATGACAGACTGAATGCATCCGAAGGACCAGCATCTTGTTGCCACTCAGCTTCATGAAACCACTGGAGACTGGTGCCACTGTTCTCTGCCAGAGATCAGAGTATTCTCAGTGTAGCCACAGTCAAGGCTAAGAGAAACTTCCTTCACCAAGGACAATTCCCCACTTTCTCCATTACCTGGAGAAACATTTTCCTCTTCCCAGAAGAGAAGCTCCTGAAAGCATCCAACACTAAATGCTTCTTATGGTAGGTTAAAGGCTTTTACAGGCAATTTGCTACAGTGCAGTGGTGGACAACTCTCCACATTGTGTGGCCTTTTGCTGCTTACGACTTCCCAAAAAAGACCTTGAAGGCTTTGTTTGTTTCCTGAAGCACAGGGTGCTTTCAGCCAGTGTGTGCTGGAATTACAGTTATCGTTCTGGACCTGTGCTGTGGTCTTGGCAAGAGCTGCCCTTAATCCTTTCTTCAGTATCTTAAATTATGGAGGAGTTCACTGACCTAGTAGATATAACAATAAATTAAATTCCTTTAAACAAATTGATCAAAGAAACTTGACCAATTTTCATAAATCTCTGGAAATTGGTTTGAATTAGCCTTTGATTTAGCATTGGTTTAATATACAAAAAAAAAATCCTATTCTTCTTACGCATTTGGCAGCTATGCTGCTTCCTGCCTCAGTTCATGTTGCTAAGGAAGATTTATTTCCCAGAAGTTAGCCATCCCTCTTCCAGCCTGTGACATTATAGTTCACTTCTTCCCTTGACAACACCGGCCAGCTGACTTGCAATGTCTGTGAGGAGCAGAATGGATGGATCTTACTTTGGTGTAAAACTTCTTAAATACTTCCGTGGAGGGGATTTCAAAGAGCTCTGCAGTGTCAGCTCGTGTGTCCCTGCCAGGGCACTCGGAAGGGAAGTGGGATTGAAGGTAGGGGAGCTGAGCTGCTGGGACATGTGCCCTTGGAAGAGACCAGTGGGAGGAATCAGGGCAGAGCCATCCCTGCCTGTGGTCTGGTAACTGTACTTTAATCACCAGATTGTTTCAGATTACTAGGGTATTAATCAGATGATTATGATATGAAAAATGGATGCTGATCCAAGATCCCAGTGCTAGAGGTGCATTTCATGTTGTCATCTCAGATCAGCCAGCACCATTCATCAGTGGTGAAAATACCCCAAGATTTGTGGTAACACCTTGATCACAGCGACTTTTTTGGTGCAAGGGCTGGACAGAAAAGCAACAAGAGCGAGCTGGAGGAGAGCAGGGTGAGGCAGATTGGGAAGTGTGGCTTTGCTCCTCAGCAGGCAGAAAGTCTTGCTCCTCACTTTGAAGCACCAAGGCACACTGAAAATAAAAATTTTAAAGGGTAAAATTAAAGATCTGGAGAATGTAAATGGTTGTAGAAGCTGGTCCAGCACCAGCTGTTGTTCTGGATCCCCTCCCGTGGTGTTCGCAGGTTGCTGCCGGCGCCGCTGAAGGACGCGGTGGAGGTGTCCATGTGGAGGAAGTGCTACACCATGCCTGAGGTGAACGCAGCCCTCAGCAAGATCCAGCTGGTGGGCTATTCCCAGAAAATCGTGAGTACCTGGACAGCTGCCCTCGGGGCAGCACCAACAACTGTTCCCCAGCTTCTCCCCCTCTAGATCCTGTGTTGGATCTAGTTACCCTGGCCAGCAAGACAGGATTACACAGACTGCCCCTCAGTCTGCCTCCCAGGAAGGGCTCTTGTTTGGTGAAATCAGGGAATATCCATTTGTTTCTTCTCTTCCTTGGGGAGGCCAGTTTTAAGGCGGCGTGCCCTCAAATTTGGAGCTGATGGCTGGCCCACTGAGAGCTGGGAGGATGCAGGGAGTGAATGTATCCTCTCTGTCTCTAAGCCACATCCCCTTCCCAGCTCCCCAATCTCACTTCTGGGAATCTTTAGAGTGCTTTAGCCTCCACTTTGTTTCATACTGTAAATTAGGGATTGTAAACAAAACCTAATGGTTCAATGTGAACTTCAGAAACTCCTTTCCCAGAGCTCCCAGCTAACAGTTATTGTCTGTAATGCTGTTGACTATAATCCAGTATAGTTTCCAGAATGGACTGAACCCACAGTTCCATAGTCTGCAGATCCCATATGGATTGTTGGCAGCATGTATGCCATGATCCCTGCTCTTTTCTGGGCCATGATACTTGGTTTTGCTGCTCAGAGGCCATAAAAATAAAAATATTAAAGTAAGTTGTGACTCCTCATCATCCATGGATTGTTACAGTTCATTTTTGACTGTCCTCACAGTGTGGATCCATCTCCCCTAATTTTAGATCTGTGTGTCTGAGCCAATCATTCTTTTGTAGTTACTGGGTGGGGGGGAAGAAAACCTGTATTTTTTCTCTTCCCAAAGCTAACTTTGCAAATAATCAAACTTTAGAACCTTGGCTTACACGCTGAGGAATGAAGACCCCCTGCCTTGTTTTTCAAGGCATCCAAATATATATTGAAATACTAGAAAAATCATTGTATTGCACGAATCAGATGCTTGTTCTATCATTCAGTAACCAGAAGGCAGATCACATTAGGGAGGTCTGTATATGAAGGTTTATTTTCCTTTCTCCAAACAAGTATTCCAGATTCCTGGGTACAGATGAGGGAATACAATTCCTAATGACACCTGGAGAGGAGGCAACTGTCATGTTGCTTACACTGAAACTAAAATGTGTATTGAGTTTGCAGGGTGTTGTTGCTAAATCACCAGCAGGTAGCATTTAAAAAGAAATAAAGTTAGAAAAGGTGTGAGTTTGAGGTTAAGTTTGTTTTCCACAGTAAAATTTGCAACCCAAGCAGAGAATTTTTATATCAATATAGAAGTACTTGTCCTTCCTTCTCTCCTGCTGGCCAATACCAATTATATTTGACTAAAGCAGAATAGAGTCTTCAAAGATGCAAAGCTCTGACAAACTTCAATACAGCAGAGGCAGGCAAAGGATCAAGACCCTGCCTGATTCCTTCATTTTGAGGTATTGTTCAGTGTGAACTCAGATGCCATAAAATTCACATGGAAGAGAGACTTTATGGAGGCCCTGCCTCAGGAAAAGCTTTTCTCAGAGCGTGTATCCTGCTAGACACAGGTGGGTAAAACCAGCAGATGTAATTCTCAAGAGAGCAGCTTCACAAAGGCTTTGAGCAGCAGAGCTGCTTTTGAAATTCCTACCACTGATGACAAAATGACCTGTCCTGATTTCCTTTGGAGCTGTCTCAAATCAATGCCTCTCACTGTGTGTTTCAGGAGCTGTTTGGTGCTGTGCAGGTCACCCCTCTGAGCTCGGGCTACGCCCTTGGGAGTTCCAATTGGATTATCCAGTCACACTATGAAAAGGTTTCTTACGTTTCAGGATCTTCTCTGCTTACAACACACCCTCAGGTACAGCCTCTGACCTTCCTTAGTCTTTAGAAGGAACTTTGCTCCAAAACAAGGGATTATTCCAGCTGGGATTAGGTTTAGGGTAGAGGCCACTCTAAGGTAACTTTTTTTTTCGTGCCTGCACTTATCATTGATAAGACATACCCTGACAAATGACAGGTATCAATAGTTATGAGGGAAAGATAACTAAAATTCTTTATTATTGGTGATTTGATGTTCACTTAAAACTGTGGAATTGTCTTTCACTCTAAAGAGGAAATTTTCAAAAGAGTTGAACAAAAGAGCATTAGTGACTTCTTTTAAAAATCCATATTTGACTGAAGAATCTTCACAGACAGTTCACAGACTGCTTTATATCACTTTTGAAACATCCTTCCTTAGGAGGAATGATAGCTCAGTGGCTGCCAACTTTTCCACCCTGCTCTGCTAAGGGCAAAGTCTTTATAGTGCTGTAGATGTAATTTCCAGTAAATTAATTCTCTCTGGATCCATAAATTCTTACTGCAAAGAAAGGCTTGAAGTTTGCAGTGCCGTGCGCTTCAGAAGTTGTCAAAATAGTTAAAAGCATTATTGCAGGAGGTATTTAAAAATAATTTAGAAGATGTGTCAGGTTTTTGATCACTAAGTGATTTCTCCCAAGGTGGGTGTCTGCTGGAAAGCTTTGCTTCTGAGCATCCCTCACTTAAAAGCTTGTTCTCATCTGAGAAACTACAGTAGATAAATGATCCTTAATAGTATGGCCATCCTTAGGTGCACAAAATGTATCAGAGCCTCTAAATCCCCGTTTCTCATCAGCCTCATTCCATCCTGGGCTGTGCTCTCATCCCCTCCTAGAGAAGGAGCAGCACTATTTGACAATGTGTGAATGCAATATTTCTGTGAGGAGAAACTTTTCCCTGTACGAAGTAATTTAGTAACTGAGAATGTTTTCTCCTCACTGACATGAAATGTGATTCAGTTTATCAGGTCAGACTTCGCCATTTTCCAAAGGTGAACGTTTCCCTGGAAGCTTCTGGTAAAATCTCTGTTTTGAAGGAAATTAAGTCCCAGTGGCAGAGAATGGTGTGAGTGAACGGCTCACAGGCACATCTTTAGAAGAAATAGTTCAACAGATAGTTAAAATCACATTTAGTTTGTGCTTTCCTTGTTATTTATCACATCACAGATGTTACCCCATATCATCATTGTCTTGCATTTGCTTCCAGATTGTTTTTGAGGACAATGGATAGTTTTTGTCCTGGGGTTAATCCCTGTGAGCACCAGCACGGGCTGCTACAATCTGGTGTTTCTGTATGTGGGTTTTGGGAGCTTCCAACCAGCTCTTCATCATCTCTTTGATGTTTGACAGACAATATGTAATGGTAACAATATCTCAAGTGGCACAGAGTCAGAATTGTGAGCAACAAATCATTTCTTCCTCAGGGAGTGAAAAGTTGTTTGTCTGTCCTGGTTCTCCATATGATCATGAGGAGAAGTTCATAATGAAATTCCCTTTTTTTTTTAGCAGGGTGTGAAAAAAGTCACTGCATTTTGTTTTAAAAAGGATGTATTTTGAAGATATCCAGAGCTGCTTTTCCAGTGAATTGGAATTTAGGCCTGGCACCACTGACTGTTCCCTGTTCTTCTGGCAGATGGTTTCCATTGAAATTTTGTCTCCCCCTCTCCTGAGGCTGGAATTGACACCGTTGCCACTGAAGTGGAGAACAGGAGTTGACAGCACAGGTTCAGACATGTCACTAAAAGCCTTTTAAGACATATTCTTTACATTAACCCACAAAAATCAATGCAGGCCCTCTCAGTGCAATGGCATCTGAAATTATGTGGATCTAATATACCATAATCATTATGTACATTATCACAGGCAGATTCCATATTATTTTTTATTGCATTATTGGCATTTCATTTTCATGGACACACCGGAGTGAGTCAAAGATTGTGATAAATCTCACATGTCAGGTCTGATCCTACAAGGGGGTGCACAGTTTAAACTCCTGGCAGAGTTTATATGAAATTCCCCTGCATTTTTAACAGAGCAGGGTCCTTCTCAACTGCTTCAGAATGGCTCTGGAGAGCTGTGAGCAGGGGAATTGACCTTACAGTGGTCTTGGAGGTTCAGCAGAGGAAATCTCTTCATCTGTCTCTTCTGGCAGAAATCTTTCCTGGTTGGTGAGACTGCAGAGAGTTGTTTATTGAGAGTAAATAACCATAAAATACCACACAGCTGCCAGCAGTTGCTCACTTTTGCTTAATCAGTAGCTGTGGGAAGGGCATCCCAACCCAGAGTGAGGCTCAAAGTTACCTTTTCACCATCAGCAGAGAGGGAATTGGATTTTACCTTATCAATATGGGATCATGTTACATTTTCAGTATCAAGAATATGTATTTAGAGTCACACTAATGTCTAATTTCTGAATATCTGCTCTCTGTTACTAATAGAGAGAAATGGGTTTGCGTTTTCATTCTGCTTTAATAAAATACCAGTATTGAACAAGTTCATTTTCCACAGATGGAGGAGTGTGAAGTGTAAAATGTTTGGTGACTGTATCAATCATGTCCTGCCTGGAGAAACTCTCCCAGTTCCTGATTTTATATCCTTGTGCTCTATTCCAGCCCATGGACCAGGCTTCTCTTAAAAACAGCGACGTTCTCATCCTGACAGGGCTGACCCAGATCCCCACTGCCAACCCCGATGGAATGGTGGGAGAGTTCTGCAGCAACCTGGGTAGGTCACTGAGAGAAATCTCCTGCCTGCTTTATCATCTTATTCATGGCTTTGGGTGGGAAATAATTCTGAGATTCCTGGAATTGAATAAGTTGTCCAGCTATAGCTCCTGGCATAAAACTACCTGTTTAGATTTTACGATGTGCTCCTGATGTCATTAATACAGTAAGTGCTTGGAGAGACACAAGTTGTACCTAAAATGTTTTGGAATGGAGCAGGTATAAAGAGATTTAATCATCTGCTTCTCCTGGTTTGCTAAGTATGTCACTTGGCTGCCAACAGGCGATGTGGATACTGTTCCCAGCTGAAATATTACTATTTCCTTCCTGTGTATCAGCCAGAGTAAAATCTTTATATACTTTTTGTATGACTTTCAGTTTTGGAAACAAGCACATCTGCTTCCCTTCTTACACCTGACTTTTAAATATATCAAAAGCAAACAGCACAATCTCTGTTTAAAAAAAAAAAAAGTCAAGATATATTTATAGACCCCCAGATATATAAAACCTAATCAGACGCTTTCACAGCTGGAAAAGCTGATAATTGCAAAGCTGTGATATCAGTGTGAATGGCAGCATTTTCCAGCCTGTTTGGAATGTCACATCCAGTGCTGTTCTCTCCTTTTCTCCCCTTCCCCCTGCTCAGTTCCTCTGTGCTCTCATCCTTTCATCAAACCACTTTTCCATGTCTGTCCTGCTCTATGTTCCCTGTTCTTCTATCAGAGATCTTCCCTTTATTTTAAATTCACTACTTTTATAAGTAAAACCAAAAAGCTTGTGATAGAAGGATCCTGTCAAAGGTTACCTAAACTAAATCAGACTACATTCCTGATCTGGTGGAATGAGACCCTTCCCATGTCAGGGGGTTGGAACTGGATGATCTCTAAGTCCCTTCCAAGCCAACCCACTCAGTGATCCTAAATATCAATTAATAGAGCTCATTTTGGATTTTATAAGAATGATAATTATGGGTTTTACTGAAGATCCTCTCTGCCAGCATCCTGGCTCCAACAGGGACTGTATGCAGATGCCTGAAGAACAGCAGAAGAGCAGGGTGGGATTCTGGGATACTTTGCTCTCATGATCTTTAACTATTTTTATTTCAGTAATTTCCTGAATTAGATGTGTTTGTGTAGTTAATGATGCCCAGTGGTTTTGTTCAACCTCCCCTTGAAGCTGTGTTAACACTTGTGACTTCCTTTCCTAAATGTGTGTTTTACATGTGTGTGTGTATTTCACCTGCCTTTGCATTGTTTTTAAACACTGTGAATTTTGTTACCCTGTGAGCTGCCACAGATCAGCTCTGGTGACCTTGTTTTGGTAAATCCAGATGTGCTGCCCTTCTCTGTCCCTCCTGGACCTTCATGTGGGTCACTGTCCCTCTGACAGCCAGTGGCACAATCCCCTCCTATCACACTGAGTAAACAAGAGTGAGACTGTTAATTCAAATGCAGTTAAATTAAAATGCATTTAAAATTAAAGTCTGAGAGCTGTAGTTGGGCCAAAGCAGAATCCAGAAGTTGACTGTGTATAAATAAACGTGTTACATGTGTCAGTGCCCGTGGCTGTTTGTCTGCATAACCTGTTCTGGTTTACAGAAATATTCTGAACTATTTTCAGGGGTTTGCAGGTCCTCAAGCCAGTTTCTGTCTTGAATGAGATAAACTCAGAGAAATGAGAAAAATCATTATAGACCAAAGGAAGATACATGCTTAAAACAATGCCACTGTAAGAATTTGGAATTTGAGTGGTACTTGCCATAAAAACAGCAATCGGAAGAAATGAAATATTTCTGTATTAATGCAGTTTAGGGCTGTCTTTTACATGATACCAGCTGTATTTATCTACCCAACATCAGGAAAACAGAGTATCAGTTTTCTTTCAAATATGTAAAAAAGTCCAAAAGCAATGGGTTACTAGGAAAAGCAATTGAGTAGGCAGGCTGAGCACAGTAGTTTTCATCTGTGTTTTCTCACTTCCGAAATGTTCAAGGGAGTGCACAAGCAGCTCAGAATACTCAAGGTAAAAACTCTGAAGCAGACCAAAATTCACCAAAAGCGGGTATGAGGAGTTACCAGCATGCTTGTGAAGGAAGGATGTGAAGCACAGAAATGGAAGTGTGAAAATTCCACCTCGATCTCTGTTTTCATCCCAGCGTGTGGAGCTGCAGCCCTGATCCCCAGGATTCCCAAGGCACACACAATTTCCTCCCCACACTCTGTCCCACCCCCAGCTTCCTCTCAGTTTACCCCAAGCCCCGTTTTTCCCTGCTCAGCTCTGCAGCACCAGCACTCTGCAGCTCAAGGAGAGCGGTTTTATTTCCACATTGCCTTGGGCACGAGCAGCAAAGCTGCCAGTCTGTCTCTGGGGACAGTTGGTGATATTTTGTGTGAGAGTGAGGCTGTGTGTGTTTGTAGAGAGCAGAAAAGAGCACAGTTTGCTTTTTAGGTGCCAACTCGACCTTGTGGCAGCAGCTATTGGGAAAGTAAGGATCTCTTTGTGAGTTGTAAATTGAACAACTTGTTATGGAGCTGCTGAAGGAGACTAAATTTGAAATGCCAAGATTATTATACAGCTTTTATCAGGAGAGAGCATCCATCAGTCACCAAGATAAATTGGGCTTTAAACAACTTTCAGATAGATGTGTCCTCTTACTGACAACTCTGAAAAGTTGTTTTAGTGCTGCAGAGAGCCAGACTGGACCTGCTGTTTGTGTGGAAAGCAATATTCTTGGAACGGTTTTCACCCCTGTTTTGCAGAAGCTGGGAGGTGATTCTTATCCCTTCGTGGATCCCTGGCCTGGTGGGCACCTGGCTGGAATCATTCTCCACTCCCAGGCTTGTGATTTTATATCCATTATTGCTCACCAGCTCTGCAGTTTGCTGGGGACAGAAACTCAAGCTGACATCTCCTTCAAGACTTTACCCTCTCTTATTTCTTCTGTGGTCCCAGGAATCTTGAATTTATGCCTGTTTTCAGCAGAAAAGGCTTGAGGTTTCCAGGGAACCAGCGGCTGTGGAGCAAGGAGAGCTGGGAAATCAGGCTGCATTGGGTTTGGCATGGCCAGGTTTTGGTAGTGTGGGGCTACAGGGCTGGTTTCTGTGAGGGGTTTCCAGACGTTTCCCCCATCCCAGCTGGCTCCAGGATGGACCCACTGCTGGCCAAGGCCAAGCCCATCAGAGGTGGCAGCACTTGTGGGATATCAGAGTGGAGAGGGGGAAGGAAGTTACTGTGCAGCCAGGGAAGAGGAGAGTGAGGGTAAGTGTGGAACAGCCCTGCAGCCCCCCAGGGCAGTGAGGAAGAAGAGGCAGGAGCTGCTCCAGGCACCAAAGCTGAGATTCCCAGCCCAGGGAGAGGCAGCTGCAGCTCATGGGGGCCCACAGGGCTGCAGAAATCCACCTGGAGACCCCACACTGGAGCAGGGGGATGCCTGAAGAGGCTGTGACCCCACACTGGAACAGTGTCCTGGCCAGGCCTGTACCCTGTGCAGAGAGGTGAAATATAAAGTGATTTCCACAAGTCAAATGCATTTTGTCCATGAAGATAATTAATCGTTAATCTCTCCCTGGTTTTAACACTCCCCACAAGGTTTTTGTCACATTTTCCCCCCTGCCCAGCTGAGTGATAGAGCAGCTTTGGTGGGCACCCAGCCTCCAGCCAGGGTCAAAGCACCACAGAGGAATGGAACTCATGTTTTTTTGTGGCCTGACACGTTCTTTAACCTCTATTCTGCATCTCATCCCTGGCCTGTGCACCATTCCTGCTGCAGTGGGTGTAGATACTTTCCTCTGCAGAATTTTTGGGTGTCTGATATCTCCATGTAAATTCAGGTCCTGGAGCCAGAGCCTCAACTTCCACCTCCAGATGGCTTTGAAAATGTTGTTCTTAACCTCCTCATTGGTTCTCTTCACATCCTGTTTGCAGCTGGGGTAGTTTAGATTTGCCTGAGTGAGTGGGATAATGTCATACATTGCTGGGATGTTTGGGAACATCTCGAGCTCTGGGCAAATGTGAAACTATTGCTGCTCATCTCCACAAATATTTGGGTGGTATAGTTTGTATATGGCCTGGAGAAATTAATCCACTACCCTGCAGTTGCATTATTAGTGATAAACAAGGGGCCTTTGATCAGCAGTTGTTGATAGCACCGTGTCAGAGGCACTGACTGCTACAAGGAGTAAAACAACTACAAATGCATGTGAAAAATCCTGCTAGGCTGTGCATCTCAATGAACTCCATAAAACTTAAATGTTCAGCCAGAAAAATCTTCCTTGAGGAAGATTCTGCCCCATCAGGGGTGAAAATACCCTTAAAGTGCTAAATCCATACCCCAATAAAGCTCAGCAAGAAGTTGAAGACAAGGAAGTGATTTAGGGGGATGCAATATTTGTATTTTCAGGCTCTTCCACAGCTTTCTGTGGAATGCTTGGTGCATGATGTTATTGCTGCTGCACTGCAGTTAACAGCAGTGGATGGTTTCACCCCACGACCACAGGTGAAATTGCTCACTGAGCTGAACGAAGTATTTCTGCTTTCCCAGAAGGTGCAGTATTTTTGTAATTCATTCTGCCAAAAAGAACACGATGTTTGCTCTGCTTGCTTTTGCTGTTGTGCTCAGATCTGTCTCAATTACAGAGTAAAGCTGTATTTCCTTTTTGTTCTCATTTTTATCTAGTCTCATGCTGTCTGTAAGTTTTAAATTGTTCTTGTTATACAGAAAGGACAAAAATATTTAGAGTTTTTGAAAAGGACAAACATTCCATCACCCATTTCTGGCTCTGAGGACTGTTTGAAATAACCACACCTTCGGCTTTTCATCTGAAATCCAAGCACTGAACAGTTCCCCATGTGCAGTGCTTTTGGCTGACACTTGGGAGCTGTTGTCCTTCCCTGCTGGAAGCAGCTGAGAGGTGGAGCAGGGTTTATTTTGATGGTGAGGTGGTTTGTGTCACTCCTTCATCCTCCTGTGCCAGTGCACGGCTGCCCTCTCCTGTCAGGAGTTTTCCATGTGCTCAGGCTGTCATGTGCCCCCAGCCAAATCCAGAATCACTCCACTGAGCCTGGAGAAGGAGAAAATAAATGTATGTAATGGTCAGAGGTTTTCTTCCCAACTCATGTGCGTAATGTGTTGTGCTAATTCATACAAAAGCTGCTTTTCATATAATATTTGGATGAAAGGAATTTATTGGAAGTTGAAATACGAAGGCAGTGAATTGATTTATCTCGTTGTCTCTCCCCTAGCGATGACTGTCCGGAATGGAGGCAATGTCCTGGTTCCCTGTTACCCCTCTGGAGTGATCTACGACCTGCTGGAGTGCCTCTATCAGTACATTGACTCTGCAGGGCTCTCCAACGTCCCCTTTTACTTCATCTCACCTGTTGCCAACAGCTCCCTGGAGTTCTCCCAGATCTTTGCTGAGTGGTAGGTGTGCCAGGGCAGCACCCTCAGCTGTGGGAAGAGGCCTGGTGCAGGTTATCTCTACCTGACAGATTCTAAAATACACCTGGTTAGGATTGTGAACACGTTCCTGGAGTCACAAGGGTGCGTGTGTGTGTGTATATATATATTCTATCATTAGGGAAGGATCATTTCCTATAGAATGTGCAAACTCAATCTCTGTTTTTTGGTGCTTACTCTAATGAGTAAATTATGTTCCTCACTTGAGTGAGTTTTAGCTGTGCTTGTTTGCAAGTAGTAGCCCCCCAGATTCTACTGTGATGTCCCTGGCTAAGCAAAATAGAGTTTTCAGTCTTAATTTTGCTGAGCCATGGCAAGAAAAGGCCAAGAGTGTCCTGGGCTGCATGAGGCAGGGCAGAGCCAGCAGGTCAGGAGAGGAGATCCTGCTCTGCTCAGCACTGCTGAAGCCTCATGGACAGTGTTCCATGCAGTTCTGCTCTCCTCAGTACCAGAGGGATGTGGGATTTCTGGAATGAGGCCAACACAGGGCCATGGAGATGAGAGGAGGTTGAGGGAGCTGGGGCTCTCCAGCCTGGAGAGCAGAAGGCTCAGGGGGATCTTATTGTGTAGAAACCACTGACAGGAAGTAATGAGAGTGAGGGCTCAGTCCCTTCAGCAGGGCCCACTGGCAGAACAAATTAAAACACGTGAAATTCCATCAGGGTAGGGCATTTAAACTGCCAGAGGGCAGGGTTAGATGGGATATTGGGAAGAAAATCTTCCCTAGGAGGATGGCGGCCCCTGGCACAGGTTGCCCAGAGAAGCTGTGGCTGTTCCTCTCCTGGAAGTGTCCAAGACCAGGCTGGATGGAGCTTTCAGTAGCCTGAGATGGTGGAAGGTGTCCCTGCCCATGGCAAGGGGTTGGAACTGGATGATCTTTCAGATCCCTTCCAACCCAAACCATTTCATGATTCTGTGATTCTGTGAAACACTGCAGCCTCTATGCTGAGAGGTTATGGAGAGTTTGCTATGGAGACATCAAAATCCAACTGGACAAAGTCCTGGATGATCTGCTCTGCTGAGAGTGTTTGAGCAGAGCTTGGACTTGGTGATCTCAGGAGGTCTCTCCCAACCTCAACCGTTTTGTGATTCTGAGCCCTGGAAAGGAGAACCAACCCCTTGGAACTCTTCCAGATTCTTACCAATGGAGACATGCTCTAGGGTATTAAATACAATAAGGTAGTTCTTCTCTTCTTCCTCTCCTGATTTTAGAGTTCAGGAAAGAAAAGACAGGTCCTGGAAATCTTGTGGGAATTGATCCCTCAGGAGAATTGTAAAGATGATTGACATCTGGTGGATTTACATGGAAATGGAGGCAAAGGTTGAACATCTGTAAAACAGAGGTTTGGGGTCAGAACTGTGATTGATATTCAGGGATTCCAGCCTTTAATTCTGCCCCTTACTCAGCTGAAGGAAATGCCTTGCTCTTAGTATCCCTTAGACTTTATCAAAATTAGTTTGACCCAGGCTCATTTCTTTTTAATAAAGTGCAAGTGTGAGCCAGGCAGTGTTTCCCAGAAAAGTCACCAGGACAGTGTCACTGCAGATCATTGTCACATCACCCAGACCTCTGACAAACAGCTTTTTTTAGCTGCTGTAATAGGATGAATCAGGAGTCTGGGTAGAGCTCATCAACAGCTCTCAATATCTGTTTTAAAGATGAGTGATTGATGGAAAATGCCAGGTCACAGTGAGCCTTGGGCCGTGGGGAGAGGCAGTTTACCAATAATGAAATGCACAGGGGAATTAGATTAGAATGAGCAAAAGGACCAAGTCACTGCCGAGAAGTGGGATGAGGCAAGTGGGATTTTTCTGCTGACAGATTATTTGGCTTTGCAAAAGCTGCTGAGATCTGGATGGGGAACCATTGTGGATGGGTTACAGATTTGTTTTAAGCAGCAGGAGCTCTGTTCCAGCGTGTACAGAATTACCTTCAGCTGCCTTGCACCTTCTTTGTGTGATCCTGCTGTGACTGTGTCCTGTAGGCGTGGGTCCTCCAACCTGAAACTCTGGCAGCAACAGGATAAATTGATGATTTTGCACCTGGTGTCTCAGATCTAAACCAGTTTTCTCCAACAGTGTGACGGTAGATGGCAGCAGATGCTGCAGGATATGCTGCACCTCTAACTCTGGCTGCTTTCCTTCTCTTTTAAAGGTTGTGTCATAACAAACAAACAAAGGTGTATCTTCCAGAACCTCCTTTTCCCCACGCTGAGGTGAGTTACCATGGTCTTGTTCACTTGTTGGATCACAGTCCACACAGTGTAGCTGTCATTTTTCTGATGAACCCTTCTACAGCTATTTAAGTTTTGTTTAATTTTTTTTGAAAGTGTTTTTTTTCTCCTTTGCTTTCTGTGATGAATTTGGGAGCATGGGGGAGGAATGAGTAGTGATGGTGTTTCCTAAACTCTAAAATTACCCTGTTTATTCCATCCTATCACTTGCACAGGCTGGCCTGGAAATCTGGTGTGGGATGTTTGCTCTTATCAACTACAACCACGAGCATTCCCTTTGTCCAAGCAGTTTATTTCCAAGGCTGTGAAACTAAGAGCTTGTTATCAGAGACAGCTTAGTCATGCCAGCTCCTTCCTCCCTCACTGAAGCGGGCACCATGACTGCTGCAGGAGGAATGATATCTTGAAAGAGAGATTTTTATATCAAAATTTAAAGTTTGAGACACTGAGTGCTGTCTGTGGCAATTTTAAATGAAATTACTTGAGCATTGTAATGAAGCAAAGAGGAATGAGGGTCCTAAATTTGGAGGATTGCCCTGCAACAAAATAATAATTTTAGGGAAGCTTTAGCCAAGCAGACATTAAATATAACTGATGCCTTCAGAGTTACCTGAATAGAAGGACAGGAAATTCTCCCCTGGGAACGGGTGGTTTTCCCACTGAAGTAAACCAGAGGCAGGCTGGGAAAGGAAGAAACAGGACTGAGAATTTTAGCTAAATCCTGCTCCTGTGAGCCACTGAACCTCTTGGGACATGCAAAAACCTGGCTGTTTCAGTTGCTGTGGTCCAGACTGTTTGATGAGATGTGCAGAGTGGCCATGGCAGGTTTAAGAGCACAGAAATTCAGTGCTTTTACTGGCACTGGGTGTTTTTTCCTCCGAGATATCTCATCCAGGGACTTGTTCTGGAAATTGCCATTACCTATCATATCTATCATCTGTAGGTGCTTCAAAGGCATTGTTGGAAGTAGGATCTGACCAGGAGCCCTCACTCTTTCCAGATGCTTGAATGTGTTGCAAGGAGAATGTGCAGTGAATTATGTATAATCTGTTACCAAGAATAATGTGGACTGCAGGGCAAGCCACCTGTTCACCACTTATTTTATTACCAAAAGATTAATTCCCACTGATAAATCAACTCCAAATTCTCTGATTATGAGGCTCTGCAGCCTTGCTGTGGCTGTGCTTTCTGTCTAGCCCTCCATCTCTGCTTTCTGGGATGTCCTTGTGGATCCACAGTGTCATTGGATTCACTGACAGCCCATATTCTGATTTCCCGTATTCACTGGAACTAGCAGATTTAAGTGAAAACCCATGCAAAAATGAGAAGCCAAACATGTCAAAGACTGGATTAATTAACCCATCTTATACAATGGGTCTTTGTGTTTACAGAGTGATAACTCTATCCTCTAATTCCTGGGACATTTTGTATTCTCTGGGGAGCCTGTTGATTGCGAGATTTTGCTAAATTGTTGGAACAGCTCTGCAAGAACTGCTCTGTGCTTCATGTGTAGATCAGGGTAATTACGTAGGAAAGGCCTCCCAGCAGTGGATCCCAGCTCAGCTTCCCTGCACAGAGGGAGGAATGTGTCTGTTCCAGGTGCAGGATGGAACATCCCGTGGGATGTCCGTGCCAGGGCCCCAGCTCTCAGCACGTACCTTGGGTCCCTTGTTAAATCTCCAAAATCTCACACCCGACACTGTATTTCACTCACACAGTGTGAAACATCCAGAAAACCTCTTCCCAGCACAATCCTGGGCCTCCACAACCCCCCTCCCCAGTCAGGAGCTTTGCTTACTGGCACTTCAGGGGATTTTTAATGAGTATCTGAAGCAGACAGTGAATGATGGTTTCTATCGGAGAGGTTGTTAGTGGAGAATTGCTTGGCTTTTTTCAAAGTAATGCTAGGCTTGTGCAATGTAACCTGTGCTGAAATTGCCCATCATGAAAAGATGTGCTTAACTGCTCAGTTGTTGGAGGAAAATAGGGAATTACTCAGACATGCCTCTTACTTCTTAGGAAGCATTAATAACATGCCTGGCATGATACATCAGAGAGGGACAGGCCAGGAAATAAGCTTCTAATTATCCACAGAGCAAGCCCAGCCCAGCATGCTGCTGGTCCTGAAATTTGATGTTCCTGTTAGTTGTATAAACAGCAAGATTTAAAAACAAAGAAGGCAAAAATTCCCCAAATCGTCGATGTTGTCCCTTGCAGCAATGAGTTCCAGCATTGCCTGATGTGTAGTAGAACAGAATAATTCCTTCCTTTAATCAGCTGTGATTGTATTTGGCATTTCACTTAACTATGCCTTTATTATTGTCACAAGGGGGTAAATAAAAGCATTTTCATTGTCTCTACAATTACTGTTTTTATTTCTCCTCACTCTCTACACTCAGTTGTTTGAAGCTTTTGCATTCTCTCTGCATGGAAATTTTTGTTTTATTATTTATGTTGCGTGTTTTGAACTCATTCCTTGTTCTGCTCTGCTGAATAAAACCAGACACATGTTCAGCTCTGCAGAGAACCTAAAACATTTCTCCCTCCTTGTTTAATTCCACTTTAATGGAGCAGTAGATGTTCGTCTTACCTCTTCCTACACAGTCCTGGCATAGTTCTTGTGGTGGCAGTTTGCTTCCTAGCATCCACTCTGAGTGAATAGGGAATACTTTCCCTCTGTTAGGAGCCAGGAATGTGAGCTGAAGTGCTTCAGATTTGTAGGGATGGATTTGAACATCAGTTCCTGATAAAGTTAATAAAAATGGAGTGTCCAGGTTCCTCTTGAAGTCTCTCCTGCAGCTTTTTAGTGGTGCACTGACTAAAAGAGCTTCTTGTTAAAGGTGTTTCTGAGGGAAGAGCTGCTCTGACTGCACAGTCAAAAACTGGAGATCCCAAATATTTGTCAGTACAGGCTGGTGGCTTTCACTGCCAAGCCCCTGTGTCCATTTTATCCAAGGATCAACTGTCTAAACAGGCTCAGACTGAAGCTCCACAGTGCCTTGCTGAAATACTGTGGAGCACAAACCAGTAATTTGTTTCTCTTAGATTTGTTATTCTGGTGTCCCAGAACCAATGTGTGGTGTCTTACCAAATTCCTATGGGAATATCCCATCCCAGCACAGCCCCAGATGAGCAATTAGGGGTCTCCTTGATCATTTTAACAGGATCCATGAATTGTACACTCTGTGCACTCTGCCCCGTCCCTTCTGTGGAGGTGGAGGCTTTGTGTTTATAAAGGAATGGCTCAATTGTTGTAGCTGAATTGTTCCTCTCTGTTCAATCTTTACATGGACAATTTCAGGCTCTAAGATAAGTGAATCCAGACTCCTCTAAATGTCTGCAACAATAAAATTTGGGAGGTAATTTGTATTGATCAGTATTTGCCAGTGGAGGGAGGATTTGGATTTACTGTGCTCTTATTAAGGATTCTGCTAGCAAGATCTAAGAGAAATGGCTGCAAAAACTCTTTTTTCTGACTCAAAAAAGAGCCAGGGTAGGAGTAATATTGATTTTGTGGTCTTAAAAACCAGCATTTGTCTTCTTCGTCTTTGATTCTCTCCTCCATTTACCAGTTCCTGCATAGCACATTTAAATAAATACCTGGAACCACGTAATTGTGGAGTATTACAGTTTGTTTTATAATAAATATTATCATATAGGAGTTGGGCTCAGTGATCCATGGGGGTCCCTTCCAACTCTGGATATTCTGTGATAAAATTAGGCCCCTGTTATTGTTGATCTGATGGAGTGAGGGAGGTGAAGTAATAAACACATCTCTCATTCCCTGATAGGAGCCACATCTGTTCCAAATTCTGGATACAGAGCACACACAGAGTAAATATCAGTGTATTTTGGCTCACTTCAACAAAGGGTACACAAAGGCTCTGGAGATTTATCCTGTTTATAGCAGCAGTTGCTGACCCTGTAAATCAAGTCTACAGCTTTAAAGGGAAGCACAGAACCGTTTGGGATTTCAGAAAAACGCAGCTCTCACTCTTGATTCAGTACTTTACCAGCCCCTATCTCTTAAGCTTTCACTCAATAGTGGTTCTTTCTGTAAAAAAAAAGCTCTGAATGCTGCTTGTGCTTTCCAGAAACCAGGCCCACTGTGGAAATGTTGGCTGGCTCAATGCCAGGCACTGGGTTTGGCCCAGCTGGAGGTCTGACCATGGCACAGCAAAGTTTACACACCCCACCTCATCTGGAGATGCAAAAAACCTGCACAAATCATTGCAAACTCAGTCCCCTTAATGAGTTGGGAAATTTTGTTGGACCTGTTTTGCAAGTTCAGCTCCGTATATTTTTGATGGGGTGATTAGAAGAGACTTTACTGTAGACATTAAATCCACCAGCTGCTTTCTCCCTGGAGTGAGCAGAATGTCTCTAAATTTGTGTTTGTAGCCTTTCACCCCTGCTCTGTCCACCTGTAAGAGTCAGGAATTGTGAGCTGAGCTCTGAAGCATCACCAGACTTAGCAGAAAAGATCTGGCATGATAAAAAGGAAAGATGAAAAAAGAATCGTCACCAACGAGCTCCTGAAAACTGGATTAGAGCTCCTGTGTCTCTTTACAAAGCAATAGGAGGGGATTTGAAGTTTCCATAAGGCTTTGAAGAAAATACAGCTTTTATGTTGCTGAGCAGTGGACATTTGTGGAGGTATGGCAGGGAAATGAGCTGCTCACTGCTTGCCACATCCAGTGCTGCTCTCACATCTTTCCAAAACTCTGAGTGCTGCATGCCAATAAATATAATTTGAAGGAACCTGTGAAAGAAGATGCTGCAACAACAGTTTGTGATTTTCAGGAGTGTCTTAGATCAATGCTGGCTGTAGAAATGTCTTCCCCTGACCTATCTGCCTGCCCCTGGAAAAGTTTTCCCCTGGAATGTCACATATTCCATTTAATGTTTGAAGTAGAAATCATCCTCCTCTTCCAGTTCACCCTGTTGAAACTGCTTCTGTAATTTCAGTTTTGAGACTTTTGGCTTCCCTCAAAAAATAAACAAACAGAAAAAAGCTTTTTGAGGCCATTTCCTGCAAGTTCATTTAAATGTCAGTATTTTATGATTCAAATTTGTTTTACCCATTGTCTGCTAAACTGCAGTTTTTATTACTGAAGCTAAGTTTAGATTCTAAACCCTGCACTCCAGATGTGTTAATCAGAAATCTTTACCAGTATAATTGCAGGAATGTTTTTGAGATTCAGTGCCTATCAACTGCCAGAGCAGTTATTGGGTGGTTTTTTTCCAATTTCGGTCTTGAAGATTAAATAGGAATTAGCTATTACTTGTAAACTGCAGAAAATGTAGTCCAGTTTCTACTTCTTCCATGATTCAAGGATCCATGTGGAAATGATCCATGTGCATCTACAGGATTGTGTAATAACCTTGGATTCTGATGTGTTTTTTGATGCACAAGTTGCTGAGAATTCTCCATTTCTCTTCATTTCCATGCAGGCACCTTAGATCAGCCATGGTAAAAAATAACGCAGGACATGGGGAAATGGCTTTAAGCTGAAGTGAAGAAGGTTTAGATCAAATATTAGGGAGAAGATCTTCCCTGTAAGGGTAGGGAGGCCATGGCACAGATTTCCAGAGAAGCTGTGGCTGCCTCTGGATCCCTGAAGTGTCCAAGGCCAGGCTGGATGAGGCTTGGAATAACCTGGGATAGTGGAAGGTGTCCCTGCCCATGGAATGGAGGTGGAACAGGATGAGCTTTAAGGTTCTTTTGTAACCCAAACCATTCTAGGATTCTATGATTTGTTGAACAGCCCAACCTCCTTTTAAAACTGGCTGACAAAGGAAGCCCCCTTCCCTCCCTCACACTCTTTTATCTCCGTGGTTTTACTCTCATCTGTTCAGCTGTGATTCTGTGTGTTAAATTCCTTGCTTTTTAAACTGTATTTACAGTTATTTCCATGCTGGAGATGGAAGCATATACCTGCCAAGGAAAAGCTTGCAAAATATTGCATGAAAGTGCTTCACAGCCTGGTTGTTAAATTTCTTTTTAAGTTGCACCTTGTTTTGCAGATTAGAAAACAGTGGCAGGAGAAATAAAGCAAAACTCTTTGAAAAGTGCCTTGATAAACAAACTTCTCCATCTTAGTAAAGAAATCTGTTCCACCTGCAGAGCTGATTGTACTGTGTCTGCAAAACATCTTATTGCTCTTAGTTCATGTTTATTGCTGGTTTCAGATACAGTTAAGGAAGGGAAAGTCAGTCTGTTCTTTTTCAGCAGGTTCAACTTTGTGTGAAGCCTTTAGACCAGGGAAGCTCAGCAACATTCTGCTGAAGGCAAAAGTGCCTGGTACTGCTGTGATGCAATAAAAGCAGGTTAAACATGAGCCCAGAGCTCTTTGCAGACATGGCAAATAGGAAAAAAGGAGCTTATTGTGAATTTGGCAGTTGAGCACTCTGCTCACTCCAGGGAAGTCGAAGCAGGGAGTGTTTGCAGAATTTCCTCCCAGTCACCATCCTGCTGGTACCAAAGAAGTGAGAGCAGGGACGTGGAGGCCCCTGGCCCCATGCTCTGACTTCCTTTTCATAACATTTATGACAGTCATGACTGAATTTGTTGGAAAAATCTAAGGGGTATACAGGAAGGGACTATCTGATGAGTTAGGAATAAATGGTAGAACATTTATAATCTCATGTAAATAAACACACGCAAGCACAGAGGCATGAAAAGTTGCACTGTCTGGATTTTTGTTTTTCTTTCAGCTCATTCAGACAAACAAATTGAAGCATTATCCCAGCATCCATGGAGACTTCAGCAATGACTTCAAGCAGCCCTGTGTTGTGTTCACTGGGCATCCCTCTCTCAGATTTGGGGATGTGGTGCATTTCATGGAGCTGTGGGGAAAATCCAGCTTGAACACTGTTATATTCACAGGTAAGTAAAATGCTGATATCATTGTCAGATTAACAGTTTGTGCATTCTGGTTAAGTGTGGCCACATCCTCGGGGCTTTGCTCATTTGTTCTGGGAGAGAAGTTTCTCACTTCAGTAGGAGCTTATCTAAATGAAGGCCCCAGGACTGGCTGCAGGGACAAATGTAATTATTGTGCCATTTAATTCAGTGTAGCTCTGCAGAGTCAACCTTTGCCATGCAGAGTCCATTCCTGCCACGTCTGAGCAAAATCTTTGTTATGCACAGCAGTAAAATGCCTGCAGGAAATTAATTTTTGAATTAAAAGCAGCTGGCTGCAAGTTAAACCCAGGCAAGACCTAATGGATGGTGGTCAGAAAGGAGAAACACTTCTCCATATTCCAGTGGAACCACAAATCTCTCCTTATCCCTTCTTGCCTTTTCATCTTTCAGTGCTTCTGAAGAGGTTTCTGTCCTCTTTGCTGTCCCAGAAGTGTGCACCCCACACAGACCTGGCACAGGGATCTGAGCTGTTCCTGCCTTTGGGCTGAGCTTTGTTCAGATGGGTTTTGGCTGACACATTTGTAGCTGAAGGTACAGCTCATTCCCCAGGGCTGCTGTTTCCTTTCTCAGTGCTCAACAGGTCTTTGAAGTTCCTCCACTTCTCTCCATCTGCTTCTAGTGCTGACCCTGATTAAAAATTCTTCAGGGCCTTCCCTGGGGCTGAGGTTCTGTGCAGGTGTGTTTGTACCTGAAGTGTCACCCAGACAGAGCCCTGCAGTGGCCATTGTCCTGATCTGAGAAGGCAAAGAATAATCCTTTAGGTCCTTACTCCTGATTTTCTGTCTAAGGAGCTCTGGGATAATGGGAGATATGCTTTATATAACTTAGCCGGATAAAAAAGGTGTGGATTTTTGGACAAAGTAATTAGAACTAGGGAGGAGAATTCTGAGGAACAAATCAAACCTACTCCACAGCAAGAGTGGGATGGAGTCCCACTGCTAACTTTATTTTCCTCCAATTTTTAGTGAATAGGAAAGCTGCTGGAAAGCACAAAACCTGAAGAAAATAGGGCTGGGAAAGGGTTCCTTCTGCTTTCTTTTTTTAACTGTAGACTTGAGGCTAGTGACAAGCAAGTCCCTTTGACTCTTCTACAATATTGTCACCAAAATGTGTGACAGTATCACGATACTGTTAAGCCAATTTGGGGATATTTTTAGTGTATAATTAACCCCATTCAATGGGAGGGGAGATACAAGGGAGTTCCTGCAGGGAACTTAAATCCAGACTGTTTGTGTGCTGGGAAATGGTGCAAGGTACCACAGCACTAAAGGTACATCTGCTGCAGGGCCCATCCCTGCTGCCCTTTGAGGCAGTTCAGGAGCCGTGCCCTAATTCCAGTAATTGGGTAAAACTGCAAGGTGGATATGCATTGGCTGAAAATAGTGAATTCTACTCCAGTCAGAACTTCAATCAAGCCGGAGTTTGCAGAGCTTTGCTGGGGTGTGTGTTCCATGAATCCCCAGGGAAGCAGTGGCATTAATCACTCTGTGAATGTGCTGCCCAGGGTGTCAGGAACTGGCCTTTAATGGCAGGAGCTCTTCCTCTCTGTCTCCTGTAAGGAGAGGCAATTGACCTTTCTGTGTGAGATCCCAATCCTTCAGTGAGCTGAGGCAATCGAGCACTTCTGTCAGAGCCTGGCCCCCGCAGGTGTTAAGGCACGGAAATGTCACTCCTGACAACCTGGGGGTGCAGCAGGTCATGGTCTTGGAGATTCATTCCCAGTTTGTACTTAGTGCAACTCCAGTTGAGAGCTGCTCTAGTTGGGTGACCTTGGAGTGCACAGTGATTCCAGATGCTTGTGGTGGTTTTTTTCCTAAATTCTGTCTATCCGTGGCTTTTATGGACTATCCATAAGTCCTACTGCCTTATGACTGTCTAGTCCTAGGCCTATTTCCTTACGGTTCTCTCAGCTGGAACAAAACACAGGCTTGAGTGCTGGGTTTGGCAGTTGGACTTGATGACCTTAGAGATTTTTTTCCCAGCCTAAATGATTCTGTGTCTATAGAAACTCCTAGCAGATTAAATTATCTTAATTATCTCTTAATTAAAGAAGAAGTTGTTCTTAGTACCAGTGAGAATCTGAAGCACCTCCACTGATGCCACTGATTTCCATTATTTAATTACTTTTCTGTTTTAAGCTAAAATCTCCTGTGGATCTGAAAGAAGCCCAGTCCATTGGAGCAGTGTGTAAGAGAAGGTGATGTTGTAGCTTTTCCTGTGAAAACCTCCTGGTTTCTGGTAATTAGAACCTTTAAACTCCAGACCATCCTGCATTGTTAATGAACACTGCTTGTTCAGTCCACAGGAACCAGCCAGTCTCCAACTTTCCAATCTGTGATGTAAAAACACAATGACAAGAATATAAATTAAAGCAGCCAGCAGCCAGGATCTGGCTGTGAGGGAACTGTGGTGCTGCCCTGCTGGCTGGTGTCACCTGCAGACATCACTGCTGGAGCAGTATTGAAGAGATTATCGATTAAAAATATTGAATACCACTGAGCCACAAAGAAATTCTAGGAGAAGACACGGTAGAAAGAAATCTCCTTTAAAAACCAGCTCCCTGGGAGATGTTAAAACCAGCTCATGCACGTCAGTGCTGTACAGTGGAAGGTTTTATAACTCAGTGTCACGCAGCAGTAAATCAGGAGTCTTGGGGGAAAAGCTAAAGACCTGTAATTCTGTCAGGAAAAGTCAATATGTGTCCTTGACAATCACTTGCTGCCTCCAGACAGGTGACTTTGGGATTTTGGGTGGTTTCAAAACAGCAGCTCCTGTGTGTCACGTGAGTTCCCAGTGAGCCCAGCTCAGGTTGTGTTTTTTACATTCTAAATCGCCCCAGTCCCGTGTTAGGATTCCTTCTCTAGAATTTCTCCCTTTTCCAAGGCTCTCCTGTCCTTGTTAGGAGTTCAGAGAGGCTTTGGACTGGGTTTTATATGGTATTCCTAGACCAGAACTCCATGTCTGTACATTCTCTGAACCTGCTGATTCAGAAATGCTGCCTCAAATCTCTGTGTCCTCCACAACCCCAGATGGGATGGAAAACCTCCCTTCTGGTAACTTTTTAAACTTAATTTTTACAATTTCACGGCGCATCTCTAGCAGAGAACCTCTGCCTGAGTTAAGCTTTCTGTTTTCCCCAATGACTTTTAAAATGCCTTGTCATTTAACCCTAACTGATCATTCTTCAACTACCAGCTTTCTCAGTATTCCTATTTTTATTTCTATTCATTGCTATTAAACTTGACTGACATAAAATGCCATTTTTTACATTTATATTTTTAGGCTTTGTTTCATTGCCACCACCACATCTGCTTTTAATAACATGGCTTTTTGCCCAGTGTAATTTTACTTCATGTTGGTGGATTCATGGCTTCATGTACATGTCCTTGTACAACATTCATTTTTTGTTAATATTTCTCACTGTAATGTTCCCAGGCAGCTACACTGACAATTGCTTTAAACTTGGGGAAATTATCCCTTTGACAGTTCCTAACATTTGTATCATTGCCTGGTGCTATGTTCTGTTCTCTCAGGGTAAATATCCCCACGTGGTGCTCAGTGCTGCTTAGCCAGCAGCAGATTTGGAGATTTTTTAGATTTTTAGATGAGCAATTAACTTGTGTTTTTGTTGGATGTCACACCGGTGCTGAACTTCCTCTGCTAAGGTTCGAAGGAGATTTTTTCTTGCTGTCTGCATGAGAAATCCACCCAGTGCTCTGCTCTGCTGCCATGTCAAAACATCCTAGACTGGTTTTTTAAATCTGGACTGGAGGCTTTGAATTTCAGTTCCTTTAAGTTCATCCTTTCAAGTAAAGCAGGTCCCAGAGAATTCTTCCTGCTGTGTTCCAGCCAGGCTTGAGCTGCACTTTGCTCTGCCTGGTGTCCTTTGAGGCCCTGTGGTTCAGGATAATCCAGCAGATGAGACTTTCCTGCATCCCCTCTCTTGCCACATTCTGTACTTATCAAATTCATACCAGTTCCTTTTTTCCAGCATTCCCTTTATCCCATTTATCCCACAATTACCAGGGAGATACAGATAGCCTAATCTTTTCCATACCATCAGTTGGTGACCCCCAAATCAAGAGGTTCTGTATCCTATACTTTGTCACCTGAGATCTACATTAGTCATTCACCAAAAAAAAAATCTTTTTCTGTAGTATTCTCAATATTTTATTACTCTCTCTGGGAGTAAAAGCCCATTCAGTGCCTGACTTTTTCCTGGCAAACCTCTAATCTAGTAATAAAAGAACCCTTGGTTGCCCACCAATCTAAACCTGGCTCTTAGATTCAAAATAATAAATATGTATATATTTATATATTTAGATATCATCTTTATGCTGCATTTTTGTCTTAGTGAGAGCCAGCTTGCCATTTGAATCACCTTACAAGACTCAAAATGTCTACGCTTTGCCTTCTTTTACAGGATCTGATTAAAAATAAGAGATGATGGTTTTGTCTTGATTAAATTTGTTCTAAAAATCATGCAATAATGTGTTCAAATGAAATAGTATTGCTCTGTTGCTTGATTAATGTAAGACTAATTGTGGGCGTAATTTTCATCAAATTAATTGAAAATAATGGGTGGGGGGAGGAGGAAGGGAAGAGAAATCTGTAACAGAATTAACCTGGAGCAACAGCTTTGACTAAACTGGAATTAGAGAGGAATTGGGCCATTTTTGTTGTTAACAGGCTTTGAGTGTTTTCAACATTTCTCTTTCCAGAACCTGATTTCTCTTACCTGGATGCCCTGGCTCCCTACCAGCCCTTGGCAATGAAATGTGTTTACTGTCCCATTGACACGAGACTCAACTTTATTCAGGTGTCTAAATTACTCAAAGAAGTCCAGGTAATGAATTTTCTGCTGCCTTTTCTTACATTTCTTCACACAGCTTAAATTAAATAAATGACTTGTGAGCAAATGTTGCATTAAAAAAAAAATGGATACAACACCCAGATCCTTTTCTCCATGAAGAGAACACAGCATTGAGTTTCTGCATTAGGAGAGGTCTAAGAAAAAAGGGGTTCTTGTAGTATCTGCTATTCCCTCTTGACTCTTTGTGCTTTAGTGGCCCATCCCATTTGTTTCTACTTAAATTTGCTTTCTGACTCATGACATAATTAAAATAATAACCAGATTTTTTTCTGGATGAGTACTTCCCTGTGTTCTGTCTTGCTGAACTCTGAAATACACATTCTTCCAAACCTTCTAACAGTGCCTGCATCACTTTATCTCATTGTTCTGCAGCCTGGCTTGTCACTGCAAACTGATGGAGCTGCCACTGCCTGCCTTTGCATAAACATCTCCTTCATGTTGCTGCTGATGTGTTGTGCTGTCTCCAGGGCAGCTTGCAGAACCACTGGCTTCTCCTTTGGCTTCCTTAAACCCTGCAGTGGCAATCAGCCTGTTGATGCTTTGTTAACATATTGCTGGAAAACTCCAGGAGCTGTTTTTGATTATTTGATAGCTGAGATTTCTGCAGCCCCACATGTTGACACCTGGGACAGTCTCCACCACTGTTACCATTTCCTTCCAGCTTACCTGGCAAGGATGTGGGAGAAAAACCCATTTCACATTTTTACTTTTTCTCCCCTCGTGGCAAGGATGGTATCAAAGTGGCGATAAGACACGAATTCCGGGCGGGTCGCCGCTGCAGGCGCCTCCAGCTCCCGGCGCAGTTCCTAGCAGTGCTGATGGGAGTTGCACCGTGCTGTGTTGCAGCCCCTGCACGTGGTGTGCCCCGAGCAGTACACGCAGCCCCCTCCCACGCAGTCCCACCGCACGGACCTGATGATCGACTGCCAGCCCCCGGCCATGTCCTACCGCCGCGCCGAGGTGCTCACGCTGCCCTACAAGCGCCGCTACGAGAAGATCGAGATCATGCCCGACGTGAGTCCTTGCAGGGCACGGCCCTGGGTGGGGGGGTTCCTGCTCATGTGGCCAAATTCCAGCTCAGCAGCCTCTGGAAAGGCGTGGAATGGCAGAGTTGTTGTGGTTGGAAAAGGTCTTTAAGGTCGTCGAGTTGAGCTGTCAGCCAGCGTCACTGCTGTGGTTGGCCTCGAGTGGGGATTCCTCCACCTTCCTTTCCGTGAAGGAGTTGTTCCCAATATCCAGCCTAAGCCTCCTCTGGTGCTACTCCAGGCTGTTTCCTCTCATCCTGTCCCTGTTCCTGGGAGCAGAGCCTGACCCCACCCCGACTGTCCCCTCCTGTCAGGAGTTGTGCAGAGCCACAAGGTTCCCCCTGATCCTCCTTTTCTCCAGGCTGAGCCCCTTTCCAGCTCCCTCAGCCCCTCCTGGTGCTCCAGCCCCTTCCCCAGCTCCGTTCCCTTCCCTGGACACACTCCAGCCCCTCAATGTCCTTCTTGTCTTGAAGGACCCAAACTGCCCTCAGGGCTAGAGGTGCAGCCTCAGAACTAAAGGTATTTGTCCTTAAGATGCCTTGTGGCTGGAATTTATAGTTGACTGTCATCATTTAAAGCACATTCTGTCAACTGGAGAGCTAGGAAAGGTGCATTTTTGAGAGATAAATTCACTCTATAAACTAATGTGAACTGAAAAAAGCCCCACTGGCTGGCTGAGAGCTGTTCAGCCTGGAGAAGAGACCTCAGAGCCCCTTCCAGAGCCTAAAGGGACTCCAGGAGAGCTGGAGAGGGACTTGGGATAAGGGGTGGAGGGACAGGATACAGGGAATGGCTTCCCACTGGGAAAGGGGAGATTTGGGTGGGATCTCCTGGTTTGGGAGGGTGGGGAGGGGCTGGGCTGGAATTCCCAGAGAAGCTGTGGCTGTCCCTGGATCCCTGGAAGTGTCCAAGGCCAGGCTGCAGCAACCTGGGATAATGGAAGGCATCAGGATTGGAGTGGGATGAGCTTTAAGATTCCTTCCCACCCAAACCATTCCATGATTCTGTGACTGTGAGCAGGCAAAAACTGTGCTCAGGTGAGTTGTCCTTTGCAAGAAAATCCCATCCCACAAGACAAAAGGGATCTCTGCCACGAGTGAAGCAACCAGACACCACCAGTGATATGAGGAAGGTTTAGGCAAAGCAGTTTGAATTAGTGCTCCAGAACCATGGAAAGATCCAGAGAATCCAGGAGTTAGTAACCAGGAGTTGTCTTTCTCCTTCCCCAAATGCACCTTCTATTAGAAATACCCTTCCCATTAAGGATCAGTTTCCAGTCATGGTAAAGAAGCAGTGAAAAGGTTTATTTGTATTCCAACAATTTCCATAAATGGTTAATTCCTACAGGCTGCAGGAGCCCAGCAGGTTAATGGATTGCTTGTAGCCATCTAAAATGTGGATTACTTATCCCCGCAACATCTATTAATGATTTATTAACACCATAAGTCAAATCCAAATATACCCATATTACAAATGGTGACCCATATTCTGACAGACATGAGCTTAAAATATTTTTTGACAATCCAATCAGCACAAATGTGTCCTTGGATCAAAGGTGACAGTGGCTTTTTGCAAGCAGGCATTACTGCCCTTTGGAAACTGGAATATTGAGTGACTTTTCATTGGAGTGTAGAAGGAGGAAGCATCCTTTAGTTGAGCCAAATATGAAGTGCAGAACTGAGACCCATGTAACAAATCCCTCAGCCAGCCCACAACACCCACTGCCACCATTTCACACCATTTCTGTGAGGAGCCTGCCCAGCACACTACTTGGAGGGTTTTAATTACAAAATATGCTTGGCTGCAGCTCCATCTTGGCATGTATATTTAATTGTGTGGGAAATTTACATATTTATTTGATCCCATTAAACCTAAGACTGGTGAAACTTGGCTTCAATTCACCAGCATGAAACCAATCCTGAGTTCAGAGTGCAGGGAACCAGGGGCTCACCAATTATTCAGATTACACTGAAGTTTGGGTTTCCACCTAAATTCTGGAGCTGAGCCTTTGTGTGAGAGCCTGTCCCTTGTGTCAGCCTCTGAAGGGGCTGGATTGCAGCTCTCCCTGCACTCCCCAAAGCTGCTGGGAGGGAGGATGCTCTGTAGGGAATGTGGCATCACCACTTGGGAAAAGTGAGCTGGTTTCTATTGCATTCCCTTTACCTTGGACAGGTCCGGCAGAAATCTGGAAAAAGGACAGAAAGGGCCTTTTTTTTCTTCTTCCCTAACAAATAACATCCAATTACATTCAAACAGGAGTCCTAATTTCAGAGCTATCCATGCTCAGGGAAGTGAAATAGCTTTGATTGTCCATATCCAGGGATTCTTCAGGCTGATTGTTCAGCTGAGCAGGCTCTGGAGTGACCTTTCAGCACTTGTAAGGGGATTCCAGGAAAAGGTGGAGAGGGACTTTGGACAAGGGGTGGAGTACCAGGACAAGGGGGAATAGCTTCCCATTGTCACAGGGCAGGTTAGATGGGATACTGGGGACAAATTCTTGCCTGTGAGGGTGGGGAGGCCCTGGAATAGAATCCCCAGAGGAGCTGTGGCTGCCCCTGGATCCCTGGCAGTGTCCAAGGCCAGGCTGGACAGGGCTTGGAGTAACCTGGGATAGTGAAAGGTGTCCCTGCCTGTGGGGTGGCACTGGATGGGATTTAAGGTTCCTCCCTACCCAAACCATTCTGGGATTTCCCTGGTTCCAGAGCTGCTCTTCACAACTCATTACAAAAGCTGCTTGGGCTGTGGTGAGGCTCCTGAACAGACTCCTGAGAGCAAGGCTGTGCTTCAGGCCTCTTAACATTCCCCAGCTCCAAGATATGCAAATCATCCTCCAAAAGAGGATCTTGCTCCTTCTTTTTAAGGGAACTACATGTTTCTGTTAAAAAATGGATGCAGCTTCCCCTTCTGCTGAGTGGGTTGTGCAAGACAGATTTCAGACATGATGGATGGGGCTCCCTGGTGTGGGAGTATTTGCTGCTTAATGTTCCCTTTTCAGTAGTTTAGGGTTCCTGAATATAGGAATTTCTGTAGTGCAAGGAAAGGGCATTTGTTTAATATGGGCTCCCACCAGCCCTGAGGTTCTGTGCAGGCTCAAGTGGCAATTGAAAAGGGCATTTTATAGCTCCTAGAAACCTTGCAATGGCTTGTTATTTGTCAAAACCATGTTAGCCTGGAATGGAATGATGAAATCCACCCCGGAAAAACCAGTAATTGCTAGATCTGCTGCAGGGCTGGGATTTGTGTGTGAAGTAAACCTGAAAGTCTCATGAAAGAATGGCTGCTGCAATGAAGTCCTGATCAGGGCCCCCTCCTGACATCCCCAGTCCCTTTCCCAGCTCAAAGTTCTGCCTGGATTCTTCCAGCTTTTGAAAACCAAAGGCTTGGCTCAGTGTGGCTCCACTTAGTGCTGTGGTAGAGTGAAATTTCCTTCCCAAAACTTGCAGTGATTCAGATCCTGGCCTGTCAGACTAATGGAAATTTGCTTTTACTGCTGGACCCTGTCTATATTTCAATCACTTCACTGAGGAGCAAAGGCAGGTCAGGCAGGCCTGTTGTATGATAATGAGATTTACACTCACAGCAGCCTTTGTTTGGAGAGAGTTTTTAACAGTCCCAAGGCATCAGGCTGGAATGGCTCTTCCAGGGGTTGTGCAAACCTTTACACTTTAAATGATTTCTCCTCAGCACCTGCCTTTCACTTAAAAAAAAATATATATATATTTATAAAACAGACTGAAAGACTGCTTCCTGGAAATTGGTTAGGTATTGTCTGCTCACAGAAGAAAGATGGGAAAATGGAAAACACCTTCTGGAGCAAACAGATAAAATTAAACAGTAGTGTCTGAGCAAATAAAGTGCCTCCAGTTTAATTACAGCTGAACAATGGTGCGGATCACTCGGTGCCGGCAGCTGACACTTCACTGAGGCCTTGTGCTTTTCAAATACTCAGTTTTGTGTTCTTCAGGACACAGCCCAGTCAGGAGAGTGTCAGTGGACAAGGCACAGCCTGACACCAAGTGAAATAATCAGAAAATACTGCGAAGAAGAAGTAGGAAAACAGCCATTATAATTATGGGGGCTTCATCTTGGCTGCCTTTCCTTGCTTTGACCTGACCTTTCCAACTTCCTTCTGTGTTTTGGGCACTAAGGAGTTTTGAATTCTGTCCTTCTTCCCACCCTCAGCTCATTTTGGTGACCCCACATTATCCAGTCTCTGACCTCTGTGTTCCTTTTTCCCTGACTATTCCCCCTGGGTTCTGTGTGCTGTAGCCTCACAAGAATGAAATACAACCTGTTGAAATGAAATGCAACCTGTTTAAGTGAAATGCAACCTGTTTGCTTCTGCTGCTCAGCCCTGCCCCATCTCCCAGCTCACTGCAGAATTGCCTGGAGTTTCTCTCCAAGATGGACTTCACCTTTTGACATTCCACCAAAACTGTTCTTTCCCAGCTTTTACCAACTTTCCTCACACAAAGCCAGAACAAGTGCTGACAAATCCCCCTGATTTACATCAGCAGAGCTCAGTGCAGCCTTTATTTTCTCCTTAGAAACGTCTCCCACCTCACTCTAGTGTCCCTTCTCTCCTGGCCATTCAGCCTGAGAGAGTTCTCCTCCCTCCTCCTCTCTTTTTTGTGCTTGGAATGTGTTATCCTTCATTTCCTTTGCCTTTTTTTCTGGCTATGCCTTTTCTGTGGTTGGTCTTACCCACAGGTTGTCCTATTTAGTCAGGTGGAACTCAGATCTGCTTTTCTGCTTCCAGCCTGCCTTTGCCTGCCTGTATTAATGTCTAGGTTTGTTTTTCCTTTCATTTTTGATGGCTGGCTGTAAGATAACACTTTTCTAGCCAGACACTCAGCTCTCTCTTCCCAGTCAGCTTCAACAACAACATCCCATCCTGACTTGACATTCTGACCCATAAAATGGTTACTATATTTTTAATATTTTGATTTATGCAGTTTTTATGTCTTTCAAATGACTCATCTCTTGCAT